TTTACAATAGAAAAATAAAAAAAATGAATAGAATTATAAGCCAATAGAAAAAACATATAAACGTGACAACCCTGATTGCAGTATATCATGCTATGGGTACTTGCTTCTGGCTTTTTATTGGTCTTTTATCTAGATTTACGATTCCAGCATTTCTCATCATTTTTCTTTTAGATTTTTATAAGATAAATTGATTATTATTGATCGTAAAGACCACAAATTAGTTACATTATTGATATTATCAATAAACAATAAAAAAAGAATGATGTTTAGTGAAGTGAACTAAGAACTATAGAAATAAAAAATTTTAATAATGTCAAGACAAAGGATTTAGAGTTGGTATAAACTAAAGATGTTTTTTTAGCAAATAATCAAAAAAGAAATTTTACATCATTTTTATAGTTTAACAATTGTAATACTGTACCCAATTTTAAAAAAAATTTATATTCATAAGATAATAAAATATTAATTTATTTTCAAAAAAATATTTATATTAAAAAATAATCAAATACGATTTAATTAATAGTTGACCAAAATCTGCCTAAAAATTTGTTATTATATTGATCAAACAATATGACATTTCATAGCTTTCAAAAACTAATCCTTCGCTATTAGGAATATTAAAAGATCCTGCAAAATTAGGTCTAACAATATTTCTACCTTCAGTCACAATTTTATATTTTTGAATTAATAAATACATTGTAATCTTAATAATATGTAATGCAAAAAACCTGCCAGGACCTAGGATTAGGATTAAATATATAAATTAGAGTAATTAGCAATTAATAATTTTGAATATAAATATATATTGGGTATATTGGGTATTAATACGTATATATGTTACGGGTCAAATTGGTTTTTAGGTCAAGTTAAACTTGACCCGGGTTGAATTGATAAATTAAAAAACCCCGGCCGGCATCAACATAATTCCGGTCCGCCCTAACCCTAAAATTCTGCTAGGGATCAATTCAACCTGGGTCAACCCGGGTCAAGTTTAACTTGACCTAAAAACCAATTTGACCCGTAACATATATACAATATGTGTACTAACATGCATGTCTTCCTAAACCAAATGGGACATATTCTCTTCCTATTTTTGTGGCTTGAGTGTTTTTTTCGATGTGTTGAAAACCATCAAATGTATTTGCATTTTGATTAGTGCCGTGGATCTCTGCGAAGTACAAATAAACATTTCTGCCTATATAATTATAAATTATAAAATTTTATTATATAGAACAATACTGTAATTATTAAATTCAAATCAAATTTCAATTCAAATTATATAATATATATTACCTTTTGGGATTTGATAACCATTTGAGAACGTAAAAGAGTCATTAATTGTTTTATGTTCTAATCCAACTATGGTATAATGGTATAAGTTACAATAAATTTATTATTAAAAGAAATGATTAACTATAGAATGATAGCATTAAAAGAATTTTACCGATTGGTTGCCAAATTCTCAAAGTCTCCCTTATAAAACTATCCAATTTAATCATTTTTTTAACATCTTGACGAGTCAAGTATCCATCTTTAATTTCACATGAAATTCTTTCATTTTCTTCAAGTAATTCTTTTCCAAAATTCGGGACGGGCACCATACTCTGCCAAAAAAAACAATGATATAGACTATAAGGATATTTTATATTTTATAAATTTATTAAAGAATAGCTTACCATAAAGAACATTTGTAATAGTTTGTGAAGTCGTGTGTATAGCAGCAAATATAATATCAATGATATAATCAGTTACTGTTTCTACATCAACTAACCCATCTTTCTCTGACAAATTAATAAACGTTTGTAAAATATCTGCCTATTAAAGTATTCAAAATGAAATATACAGAAGGTATTGCATTGTAAATTAATATATATATATTTTAAGTCATGGCAAATTAATTTTACATACCGGAGGTTCAAATTCTCTTTTTTTATGCTCACGTTGTTTGATAATTTGTATAATTCTGCTTCTTATCACTTGTCTGTGTTTTTTATAAAGATGACCAGTATATTTTAGACGAAATCTAAATAAAAATATAAGATCAAAATATTGACATTAAATTATAGACTTAGTTTAGTTAATCATAATAAGAATAAACATAATGAAATTCATACACAAAAAATTTGGCATGAAGTGAAGGATGAATAAAATTTAAGAACGGAGGCAATGAAATTGCAGGAGTAATGTCCCTTGTTAAATTAGCGAACGTATTGAGGAGTTCCTCATCATTTGATAAATCCTGTGCATACGATATCAGATTATATTAGTTAAAGCTTAATTGAATATATCTTAATTGAGTAATATAGCCAACAATTTAATATTCTTACTTCACCAACGATAACACTGACCGCAGGTATTGCCACTATTTGCAGAAGAAATTGTTGTGGAGA